CCTTTCAAACTCAAGATAAGTTGTCGGCGTCACGGACGATGAGCAGAGGGTCGTCCGTGTTGCCAACTCATCAACCATCAGCGCCAAGGGTTCTTCGGGAGAACTCCGGAACATGGTGACTGATGTGACAAGCTGAAGGCAGAGGCATACGCCTTGAGAAGGCCGTCCACCCGATCAGGCCCTTAGCCTTCTTCAACTGGCCTAAAGCCCCATATATCAATCCCAGATTGCTCGTGGCAATCAGTGTATCTGGATGGTCATCACCTTGGATTTCCTTCCGTTTTTGCAACACCGTAATTTGAATCGCCTCAGCCGCCTTGAATTGATCCAGGCTAAGATGCATCCAGGCTAGATTATTCATGGCATCTAGTGTTTGTAGATGGTTTGCACCAAAAAGCTGTCTACACTTTTCCAGAGCGACCCTTTGGAGCTCTGCAGCCTCCTGGAACCGGCCAAGACTGTGATATGTCCATGCAAGATCATTCATGGTACCTAGGGTATGTGGATGGTTGTCACCGAGAAGCTTCTTTTGGTTGTCCAGCACTTTAGTCTGAAGCTCTCTGGCATCATTGGACTGCCCAAGGCTTTCATACGTCAATGCCAGAATTTTCTTCACAAGCAGAGTGTCTGCATCCTCACTATTGTCCAACTGCCTCTGCTTCTCAACTCTTCGAACTAGGAGCTTTGCTGCTTCTTTATATTTTCCAGTATAGTAGAACAATCTCCCGTATTGTGCCTCAAAATCAGGAGTCATGTGGAGCTCTCCATGCAAGAGTGAACTAACATGAGGGAGCAATGTCAGACTAGCCAGTAAGATATCTTCATCTGATATTTCATTAATGGACATTCCCCCAATAGCAGTCATGCAAGACTGATATGACTTCTCAGCAGTAATGGTATTGCGACTCCAGGTATGTGTTGGATTATCAAGCCGTCATCCATCATTGATGGGATTTATGATCCGCCCGGGGAACTTACTCAGCCCGAGGTTCAATTACTCATCCCGACGTGAGGACTACCGAGTTGTGGAAAGTTCTAGTATGTAGTTTGTAGAGTATATAAACCCTTGTAATTAGCCCAGTATTTTAAGTTCATCTGGTCTTGTTTCCACCGCATCAGATATTCTCACAGTATGTACCAGTGGATGGATTGAAAACACATTTCTTTCCACATCAAAAGTGATTAAAGAATATGCTTGGAGTTCATTGGTTACATTGCAGAAGCACAGAGAATTCCAAGTATTATCAGGCCTAAAAAATTGGGAGAGAAATTCCCAGGGCACCTTTAACTCCTCTCTGCTTGGACCAGAAGATGGAAATCTGTAGTCGGATGCATTGCTGAAGAATTCTTCAGAGATTCCACCATGGTGAATAAACGAGCAGAGCTGCAAAAGCATAGCAGCAGGTGGACTGAGCTGGTCAAAACTAATCTGCCACGTTGTATAAACAGTCCAAGCATAATTGTCATGAGACTGTGAAGGTTTTTCTCTGAGGAGCTGTTCCTTATTCTTCATATAAAGTGCCAAATAACTATTGAGAGATCCAGACTTCAAGATGAATGCACCAGCTTGGACAATTGCAAGGGGCAAATACCACAAGGCCTAGCAAAATGAGTTAAAGGGATACAGAAATAGGATCTTACTGACCTTGACAATTTTAGTGGCAGTGTCTTTGTTTTTTGGGGTCAGATCTTGAGCAGCACTTCGGAGTAATAGCTCCACAGCATCTGTTTCTTCCATATCTGAAACATGGGAATGTGACCCATAACCTCGGAGTTGAGGGTTTCGCGATGTGATGAGGATGTTCCCATGCTTGCAGCAAGGGAAGAAATGGTGCAGATCAATTTTGGGATCATCTGCATTGTCAAAGAACAGCAACCATTCATTTTTTTTGCTGCGAAGCCAGTCCAAGGCATCTTGTATACTGTCCCCAATCTTTTTTGTCACAGCAATGCTCTTGAGGCCGGTATCAGTTGTTTCGGGAGTGCTCATATCGATTAGGAAAATATCAGAGAACCTGAGCACATTTCAGTCAGCTCTAAGTATTGAATAACAGACAATGAACTCACTTGGACGCTGATTCATCAATGAATTTTAGAGCAATTTGGGTCTTCCCTGAACCACCAAGTCCATAGAGCACATATATGCGTTGTCTCCCTTGGTCCTCAGTAAAGTCCTGATGCATCTTAGAAAGGATGGTTTGTCTTCCGTGAAATATTCGAGATGGTGGTGGACAATTGTTGATACTCTGGGTCTCTTGGGTGATAGACAAATCTGAATCTGGAAAGAGCTTTAATATTTCGGAGTTTCAATAGAAATCATAAAGATACTTGGGGCAATTGTCTTAAGGGAGGCATGGATCTTATACACTTCAAAATTTGTATCGATGGCTGCAATGAGCTGAAATGGGTGTCAGGAATATTTTCTGGGACCATGTGGTGAGTACCTTCAGATTCAAGCACAGTGTTTGGACCTTGTTCTGATATTCACTGATTCTGTTGCTGATACTGCTTGACTTGACCATTTCCTTGAAATGACCTCGCAAGCCTCGGGGAACATCTTGCCATTCCTTTACTTCACCTATAATTTCTTGCAAGGTACTAGGGGACATGAAATGACTACAGCAGCTATTGGAGAAATTGTTTCATTTACCTTTCGAACTCCTCACAGACACTCTTCAACTTCTCAGCCACAGTAGGCCCATGCGACAATATCTGGTCTTGAATGATCTTCATGATTTCTATTGAATTTTCACACAGCTCCTTCAGGTCATCCCGATTCTTCCTTACTTTCTGCAGGATCAGATGGTTAGACCGACCATTTATGAGAAAAGGAAGATACTGTACCTCAACTGTCTCCAGCAAGATCACGATCATGCCAAATGCCCTTCTCACATAGGGAACACTCTCTGTCCCTGCAGTAATTGTCTTCACTGCCAGGAGGGTTGGTCCAAGCCAATCTGACTTGGAATTAGATTTGAACGACCGGGACGATGTAGCTGTGTGCTTGCGGGAGGGACTAGGGGAAGGGCTGCTGGTGGCCATGGTGGGGGAAGACAAGGCGACGATTCCCAGGAGAGCCACCCTATCGTAACTGATCCCAAGGCAATAATCTTTGCCATTGCAATGTTCGAAGTATGCCAGCTGTCCGCTTGGCAGATCAGTGATAACTATTATAGTTAGATTTCAGGTCATCGTGATCAAACAGCAATCAGGTTGATGAGGTCCGTCAAGCTAGTTAGACTCAAGTTAGTTAGATTTGATAAATGACTTTTGACTCTATTCAACTAAAAAAAAAACCCTGATAGTCTGACTTCACTGACATGGGCAGGTCGGCCCCTGTGATATTTCAATTTTTCCGACAATGAAGGGCACTGCTCGGCGTTTGAACACTTCCTGTACCATTTCGAGTGAATGTTCAGGTGACACGTGATGCGGCCCTTTCATGTGCCTCGAAAGGTGCACCTCCTGATAATGTTGGCCTTCTGAAACTAACCACTACGCAGACACCGCTAGCCCTCTGTCGTTCCGTGTCGGTGGAAATGTAGTACACGGCCCCTTCGTTGTGGCCACTGTCGACCGCGACGACCCCACGCCGCAAGAGCCCTCCTTCGCGCACTTCCTCAGTGGAAATTTCTTCAACCACGACAGCCGCCTCATCAACTCCATGCCAGCGGTATCATTCTCTGTCCCGCCAGCTCCACCTGTGGGGTCCCATGCCCACCGGTGAGTAATTTTTATGCCTCATCACGTGCACCAGCAGATGCCGGTCCTTCAAGTTGTTACTGCGTCATCATTACCCGCCCCTAATTAATCTACGCTCCCTCCAAGAGTTGAAGACGAGAACGTGAATGTCAGACTGGCACCTGGTCTGAGATGGGTGAGTCTTCTCCTGCCCTGTACATTGGAGAACAAAGACTGAAGCGTCACAGCTGACGATCCCAGAGACGTTGTGATGCGGACTGTGGTGCTTCAAACTGCCAGATGGTGGGGAGATCCGGGCTATGTTTAAATGCTCGTCCTCTAGGGGAATTTGTTTCTGTCGCTGTAGACAAGTATGTAAGAAGCTTTAAATATTATTGGTGGGGATATCTGTACAAGGATTGAACAATTCGTCCAAAATCCTGCTAGCTAGGGTGGACCGAGCAAACTCCGAAGCCTAGTTAGCCTCCTCGGGTTAATGGAGATTGAATCTGTTCTACACTTCCTCGGAAGAGGAACTCCGGAAGGCGATGTGGGGCCCAATTCGTCTAGTCCAAGGTGAAATATGAGTTTAGGGGGCTTCTTCGACCTCAAACCACGGTCTTTCGAAGTACATATGGGTTGTTCATCATACGACCGGGGGAGTTATGTGTTTGTGGTGCTGTTGCTGTAAATTTCTCCTCCTTTTACCCCTCTTTGTGCCTCTACGGAGTTTCCTCTCTCTACTTCCCAACCCATTTGCTTGCTGAAGGCGACTTCCTGCAGGCTTCGCACCACCTACTTCCTTAGCTAGCAGCTACACACAAACTCCGAAGACTTGTTGTGCCACTTGAGAGATTTTACTGCCCTACTAACATAGGGGAGGAATAGAAGATTCGATAGTTGAGATGAACTAATGCCGAAATGAAACTCCGGTTGCTGTCTGATGGGGGCGAGGGAGTACTGGAGGTCGATTTACTGTATAACTCGACTCCAGGTGACCTCTAGGTGATGTTTGGGCGGTTTTTAGCTACTCCTAAGCTGGCTAAGGCTTAGAAGCTGAGAATGTGGGCCAAAACTGAGATGATATTTTGCTAGACAAGCTGTAGTATTTATACCCCCAGCCTGAGGCTGTGCTGGAGCTGCTCCTTTGTGTCCCAAATCCCTTCCGTTCACATGTGATCTCGCTTGTGACTCCCTACAGACCCCGAGAGGCTATGCCTGCACCGTACTGTTTTATTGTTAACAACTCCATTGTCCAAGCCCCGGCTGTACTCTCCTTCGATCCTTAGCTTTCCTCCGACCTTGATCCCACCCGTATTGGCTCAATGGCACAGCAGTAGCGCGCTCCGGATTGTTCTCCCCAGTGTTTGACTATTCCAGAGAGACCCGGAGTTCAATCCTCCGTCGAGCTATTCTCTTGCACGATCCACCTTTTTAGTATGCCCTGGGCTCCTGTCCGTCCTTTGATTGTAGGCCTTCATGGCTTGGTGGCGTAGTTGGAACACGTCCTGTCTTAATGCTCTTGCGCAAGCGCCTCTTACAGGAAGTCCGGAGTTCAATTCTCCATTGAGCCATTCCTCTGTTCCATTCCTTTTTGTACCGGTTATCGGATGTCAGTATCTGATGGTCCAGTGGCGTAGTGGTAATGCACTCTGCTTGCGTAGCTGGCAGGAAACTGAATAATAGAGGGTCCAGAGTTCGAGTCTCCATTGGGCCTTGCATTTTTTTTTGTCCATCGAGGATCGTAAGAAGATACAGCACACTTGAATGGTTCAGTGGTGTAATGGTAACACACTCCGCATTCCTGTGAAGTTCACGGTATGCTTTTACAGAGGGTTCGGAGTTTGATTCTCCGCTGAGCCATTATGTCGGAACCCCTTTCTTTCTCATGGCGATAGTCTTAGTTGGTCATTTGATTCATACAGCTTGGTGGCGTAATGGTAACACGCTCCGCGGTGCTCTACTGCATTTGTATATTGTTTGACAGAAAGTCCGGAGTTCGATTCTCCGTCAAGCCATTGCGTCAAAAACATTTCTTTTGTTGGCCCGGGTAAGTCCGTCTTGCGTCAATTTCTGGCTGGCTTGGTAGCAGTAACACATTCCAAATCCCTACATAGGTGTTCCGTTCTTGGAAGGTACGGAGTTCGATTCTCCATCAAACCATGTCTGGGTAAGGTGGTCTTTTTTATTATGAGGGCCTTTGCAGGAAGTCCGGAGTTCAGTTTTTCGTCCATCAAGGATTCACGTCAGCTCAGTGGTGTAACGGTAATGCACTCCGCATTCCTATGTAGTTCACGGTATGCTTTCATGGAGGGTTCGGAGTTCAATTCTTCACTGGGCCATTATGACGGAAACCCTTCTTTGTGGTCTTTTTGGTTATCCGACTCGTACGGCTTGGTGGCGTAACAGTAATGCGGTCCGTTATTCTATGGCATTTACATATCACTAAACGGAAAGTTCAGAGTTCGATTCTTCATCAAGCCATGAGTTGGGTCCAGATAATGTTTTACTTGGAGTTGCTTTGGTGGACATTTGAGCTCGACTCTTTGAACAGCTTGGTGGCGTAATGGTAACACGTTCTGTGTTGGTTTACAGCATTTCATACTCTCAAAACAGAAAGTCCGGAGTTCGATTCTCTGTCAGGCCATGGGTTGGGTCCGGGTATATGTTTTTTAACTCGGAGTTGTTTTGGCGTTATTCGATTCTTGAACAGTTTGGTGGCATGGTGGTAACGCATTCCGTGGTGTTTTGTTCTCGGAGTTTGGTGTTTTGAGGTCACGTCGGGAGCTATCACAATGTGATGGCTCACAACGTGGCTCCAGTGGCGAAGCGTTGGGCAGGGAACGGTTAAATTCGCTGGTCGAAGCGCTGGGCTTCATTGCCTCGGGCTGAATCTGAGCATCTACTGCATCACAGGGCAGAAATGCACTCATCCGTCTGTGTCGTAATTTTCCTTCCGTACCTACACTGGGGCTTGACGCCATTGCTTCACGTGGCAGATACTTTAATCTTTGCACTCAAGTTTGAATATTTGGATCTTTAATGGAAATGTGTACTTCACATATTTGAGAAAAAAGGAAGAAGAGGAAGGAGATCTCTGTTCAATTTTGGGTCATCTGCTAGAAGGTTGGGGCGGTGGAAATTATCCGAGTTGTCGATCGTCAGGCTAAGCCTCCTCGTTTGACTTGCTCTTGGTGGACGCGCTCAAATTCTTTCGCGTTTCGCCAGAAATATGGCTCCTTTAACCATCTATCCAGAGTCAGGAGTGCTAAACCAAAAGTAGATAATGAACAGGACACGTACCTCAAGTGACCACTCACTCAAGCTTCTGCTTCATGCCGCGAACTCTCCAAGACCACCTGAGGCTGAACCAGCCGATGCGGTCGCTCTCTGAAACAAAGTCACGGTCCTCAAAGAGGGCACGCAAGGCCCTGTGATATATAGAATCGAATTTTGAGCGCGGTATGCCTGATGGAATGCTCACTTGTCAATATCCTCGACCTCGTTCTCTTCCTCCTCTGTCGAGGGCCTGACCTCTTCCAGCCGCTTCACGCAAATTGTCGGACGTTGTTGGCAAGGGTAATGTCATCCGAAACGTGTTCGGTCCAAAGGTCGAGGATGAACTTGGCGCCCTGGCTTGCCCTGGCGTATAAGGAAGAGTAGCCAATAATTTGAATAAAGCCTATAAGCGGTGAAGACAGCCTTGGTGAAGCACCGTAATGCGGTGCTCTCGAGGCATTGCTCCATCATCTACTTTAAGCTTACAGCTTTCCTCTCGATGCTTCCCCTCTGACTTGTACGCTATACATCCTGATGGACACCCCTACGCACCCAAATTCGAGCTCTTCTTGGAGCGGCCAAGAACTACTCCGGCAGGTCTTCCCTCCCGAGGGCACTTACTATTTCTTCTATGTGGCCATCGCGGTCAGCGGGATTCTGTATGCAGCATGCTTGGCGCTCGTTACTATCTACCTTTACATCGAAATTGGTCCTCTCATCGACCACGTCTGGCGTGCGCTCGCTGGGATCTCGGGCGTCATCGATCTGCACCGCAAGCTCCAGAGGCGTACAACATAGATGAAACTGCACAGTACTTTGACAGATGCGGAAAAAAGCGCGTAGAATCTTGTTCTGTACACCTCCAAAATCAAACCCAAAGATAATGAAATGTCGCTAACTCGATGTATTGCGATAGCGATGCCGTAGATGACTTATGCAAGGAATACTTCCGCAATAACAATGCCGGCTGGTTTAGCTTTGTGTCGTGGTATTGGCACGTCCGCACTGTGAAGCGGAAACTGAAGGTCACGGTCACGGTACGTGTTTTGTTCGTCGTCTGCTTCCGGTATAATAACCACTCCGAATAGAGGCTTGAAATTGAGATCCGACTGGCCAACCCCCTCCCAAAAAATGGATCGGCACACCGTTAACAAGAGCACGTCCAGCGAGAAAGCTTGAATGACCGACAAATGAGATATGGAAGAACCACGAGCTCCGAGTAGACGGATGGAATGAAGACTTCCCTCTTGTTTATTCTTTTGTAAAAACATGTTGTCAACAATTTGATCTTGCTAGCGATGAGGAGTCTGTATCGCATTCCATGGCTTCATCAGTGCAGTACTCCTGAGTCCTGAACTTAAACTTGTTCTGAACTGATGAGTACTCTGAGTCTCGGACGCACTGCACATTCGACGATAGGCCTTCCTTTGATTAGACACAGACCGTTTTATATACAATCATATCCCTCAGCCATTGGAATCTCAAAGATCGAAGTCCTTGGTTGTAACTGCAAGCTGAATGTTCAGCTCGGAGTACTAGTGAGTATACCACCGCACGCAAGCAGAATCACGCAGAGACCCCCGGCAGTCCCTGTGATTAGCAACTCAATTAAAATGCCTCAGTGAGCTCGAAGTGTGCGTTGCCATTTCTCCGTGCTGCCCTCCATCATTAATTCAATGGCAATGATGTGAGGAGCAGGAGAAGGTTGAAGGAGAAATGAAATTTCAATTGCACAATTGTCCCTACTAGCGACATATCACTCCAATTGAAAGAAGAAGAAGAAGAAAAGTTTATTTTGCTGCAAGCAAGGTCTGTGCCGACATAGTCGGCACCCACTTGTCAAGGCTTCATCAAGACTATACACAGTGGGACCCATGGATTTCTGCGGGCATGCTAAAGCAATTCAATTCGGCAAACGATGGTGAGTTGATAAGATAGGCGCAAGTCACTCTCTACGAGGGTCACGTGTGCGTTACATGTCACACGAAACGCGGCAAAATTTTTGTCAACATGCTGGAATTCGCTCAATTTCGACGTTTCCGTGGCAGATTTTTTTTGGGAATATTAAGTCATGGTATAAAATACATTCTGACTCCTGGAAAAGGTTCAGAATCCTTCACTGGGAACAGGCAAGAAGTATTTGAGAAGAATAGCAGGCACATGTATCTTGCTTGACTGTTCGCCAGCCACTGCCGGCACCATATATGTACCGTGAGAGCCTTACATAAGCGGCAAAATTTATAGCCATCTGAAACCAAACCGTGTCCAAATGCAAAAACAATCATTTCTGCATTCAAAAAAAAAATGGGTCAATAAAATCCTATAATGCTCCATAAATAATGGGTATTTTCAGAATCTGAGACCAGGGATCTCTTCAAAGGACTCAAATGCAACATTTCTCGGTTATACTTCATGTCCCAATGTTTTGTGGCTGGAGCTTTGCAGCTGTCACAATTTGATCATGTGACCCTCGTAGAGAGTGACTTGCGCCTATCTTAACTTGAATGTTTTGTAAAGCTTAAAGTCGGTCAACCCACAGGATAATTGCATATTGTCACTGGCATCCAATGCTTTCTTTTAGTGATCAGCTACGAGAGATCAGGACATGGGAGACAATAGGCACCTGGCGTCCTGGCATGCAGAAGCTGTCAGTCAAAGCTATGAGCAAGGAGAAGAATTTAAGAGCCAAGGCACGCAAAGATTTGAAGGTGCACGGGAAGGGCCGCCGTATAGCTGATCAAGATGTAGCAGTGGAGGTGGGAAAGCTGAAGGCCCTGAGGCGAAAGCTTAAATTGGAGGCGGTTGCCAAGGCAGAAGCGAAGGCCAAGGCAGCTGAGGAACGGGCGAAGAAGAAGGCGATTAAGATGAATAATAACGCGAAGGGAAAGGGGAAAGGGAAGGGATGAGCGTCTACCTCTTTCATTTCATTCGGTTGTCTACCTCTTTCATTCTTTCATTCGGTTGTAATTGTCATTGGCACATGGGTGAAGATACATGTTTGACTATAGAGGATAGCGAACGGGAACGGGAACATGAACAGCGATGACGCCGACTCGTTCGGGCCCGCCGACCCTAAAACGCCCCGTAGTCCTGTTGAGGAGGTCCTAGGGCACTACAGCATACATTGGTTGAGGGAACTCGGGCAAGGGATGGGTTAGGAAGAGCTCACCTGCCCGCCATCACCATATACGGCGACGGTGCCGACTCATTCGGGCCCGCCGACCCGAAAACGCCCTGTAGTCCTGTTGAGGAGGTCCTAGGGCACTGGAACATTCGTTGTTTGAGGAGATTCGGGCAAGGGATGGGTGAGGAAGAACTCACCTGCCTGCCATCATCATGTACGGCGACGGCGCCGACTTGTTCGGGCCCGCCGACCCGAAAACACCCTGTAGTCCTGTTGAGGAGGTCCTAGGGCACTGGAATAGTCGTTATTTGAGGAGATTCGGGCAAGGGATGGGTGAGGAAGAACTCACCTGCCCGCCATCATCATGTACGGCGACGGCGCCGACTTGTTCGGGCCTGCCGACCCGAAAACGCCCCGTAGTCCTGTTGAGGAGCCTGAGGTCCTAGGGCACTGGAATATTCGTTATTTGAGGAGATTCGGGCAAGGGATGGGTGAAGAAGAGCTCACCTGCCCGCCATCACCGTGTACGGCGACAGCGCTGACTCGTTCGTGACAGGCTGCATGAAAACACACCTTAGAAGTCTCGGGGACATCATAGGGCAGGTGCTTGCAAGTAGTTTGGAGGGATTGGGCCAAGGAGTGGGCCAGGAAGTGGACAACGGCCAGAGAGTACCCAGGGTGGCTATGAGACAACCTAAAGACCAGCTAATGCCCAGGAGTTTGATGGTCAGAGCCAGGGGTCTGTGATGGAGAGGGAGGAGGAAGGAGGGTCTTCTCCATGAGCGACGACGGCGGCGGCGGCGACCACTATGGTGCAGACGATGGCATAAGTAACGCACACGAGGTGTCTCTGGGGTCCTGGGTACGTGCCGGACGTTGGCCGTCATGATTCAAATCAATATATCATCAAAACTAAGCTGCTCAGTTTCTGTTGCCATACTTTCGTATTTAGTGTTCAACTTCCCAATTCGGCAATCATGACGTTTATATCGACGCCACTCACGGTGCGGATCGACTTTACGCCGTGTATCGGGCTAATTAATTATGACGCTCATATGTTACGGACATGGTCTATTTATATTGTCTGCGACCCGCTGTGAGAAAGGTACGTTGTATCGGAACACTTTGGTTGATGACGTTGGCCCTTCTGCCTCCGGTGGGTTACACTCGTTTTTCGTCCAACAGTGGAAGGTGATTATCTCTGCCCTGTAGCACAATGAACCACAAGTGAAGTTACAAATCTC